GAAATAATTCAAAAAAAAAGTAACAACATTAATATAATGATAATGCTGGCACGTAAAATAATGTCAAGTTATTAAAATCGTTGAATTTGACATACATTAACTCAGCCTTACTTCACTTAGGCTTTGCATAATCCTCTTTGGTTATAAAAGAGTTGTTAAAAGGAACCTTTTACAGTGAGACAGCCGCCTCGCCGAGTGCAATGTCATGGAAGTGACATTTGTCTTTTCAACAGCTCATTCCCTCTACGTCTGATGTCAAACTTATGTCTATCTATGGTAGAACTTGTCAACGATAACATTCATTTAACAATTCACATAGGTAGCTTAATAACTTTATAACTTGCGAATATTTCTTAAGTGATTTTTTTCAGATTAAAGTACTTTTTGTATGTTTAAGGGTTTGAAGAAATGTTCTTCACATAAGGCATATAATATTTTCATATTAACACGATAATAAGTAAGTCCCATATATACTATATGTATGCTTATACGAAATCCTTTAATGAGGTTGTGGGTAGTAAATATTAGTTATAACCCTTTTAGTTGTACATTTCTAAAACATTAGTAAAATCATACCTCCACTTTGGTAATTATTCTTTTTACAACTTACTGAAGTATATTCACTTATACAATTAAAAAGTACAACTTAGTAAAACGAAACTTGACTTCAATCATGTAATAACTAACTGACAACAAAAAGTAAATAATCTTGCTATTTGTAACATATGGTAATAAATGTTGTGAATTGATACAGACCAAAAGCACGAACACTTCACCTTCTCGCCGAGATTGAACTACTGTCCTTGTCTTCAAGAAGGTTTTTATGTTTTAGTTGGTCGGCGTGTTTTTTAAAGGTTCTTCCATTGTTACCTTCAACTTTCCAAACGTTTCGCCCTAGTCTCTTCAAGATTACTCCGGGTTTCCACACAACATTTCCGTTTCTAGTTTCTGCCCAAAACACAGGCTCATTTATTTTGAAGTTAAGGCTAGTAGTGGCTTCAGTTGCTTCTTCTTTATTCTCTTTCTCTTTTGTTTTATCTTCTTTAACCTTGTCCCTTAAAGCTAAAGGAACAGGCCTTGCCTTTTTAAACACTGGTGTAGCGCCCTCTTTTAAGTACAAATAAGCTGTTGTCTTTGAACATTTATTTTCTTTGGGTTGAAAAACGTCAGAAAACTCATCTACAAGTTTGGCAAGTTGTTGATCCGTATTTTCTACTTGTAAGGTTTGTTTATACGGTTCTGAACATATCCTTTGCAAATCGGAAAGTGATATTTTGTGGAGAAATAAAGGTAAAATCCAATCTCTTCCCAAAATATTTTGTTTGACACCCGAAGCAACAAAAGCTCTGAGTTTCGTTTTAACGTTTGCGAAAGCAACTTCTACATCCATCTCACCAAGAAGTTTAACACAATTGCCCGTAAATGAAGTAAAATTCTGCTTACTTAACAGAAGGTTTGGTTTTCCTATCTGTTTCCAAGTATGATCTGAGATGATTGATGCGCAGCTACCTGTATCAAACTGCATCCTTACGATCTGGTTATTGAGTAAGATGTTAAGATTAAGTATCGGGTAAAAAGTTGCCTGCTTTCCGATTGAATGAATGTCCTGTATTCCTCCCAAAGAGTTCGTGTCACTATAGCTAGTTACAGCATTATCAACAACGTTACTCCTTTCCTTTGACTTTGGATCATTCTCAACAATGTTGCTCCTAAGGTGTTGTTTCTTCACTTGCCCCGTTTTACATATTCTAGTTATGTGATTCCTACTCCCGCATTTGTAACATATTGGATTTTTGATGTTACAATTCCTTTTAAGATGTTTACCACCACATATAAAGCATGGTCCTGGAGATATAACGTTACAATATTCCCTCTGAGAAAAACTATTTAATAAAGCATCTTTTACTGAGAAAAGAGAATTAGCTACGTTAACGACTTCTGAGAACGTTTCATAATCCTTCTCCATGAGTTTGGATTTTGTATTGTTGTCACGTATTTCCATTACAAAAGCGGTAACAAGTGCTTGTTGGAAAAATTGAATGGGAAATTGACAATCATTTACTTTATGCCTCAAAAGATTGGCAAACTCCGTCAGACTCTCGCAGCCCTGACGGAGTGAAAAAAACCTGACTCTTTCCGCAATAGCGATTTTTTTAGTTTTAAAGTTGTCCAACAACAGTTTAAAAAGTTCTTCATACTTAAAGTCATTTAAATCATTAGGTCTACAAAGATTAACCAGTGTGCTTAACACATTAGTACTCAAAGAGTTTATGAATAGTAAGCGTTTGGTTTCGTCATCGTTAATTCCATTGAGTTTAAGACCTGTAGTAAACTTAATGTGCCACACATCAATCTCTACTGTGTCCGGGTCGAACAAGTCACATTTAAAATTACTAATACTTTTTTCATTACGAACTTGATCGGTACCTGGATCGTCTTGATGTCGTCTCGGCATTGTGTGAGTTCGAATTCCTCGTCGCCAATGAAGTATATTCACTTATACAATTAAAAAGTACAACTTAGTAAAACGAAACTTGACTTTAATCATGTAATAACTAACTGACAACAAAAAGTAAATAATCTTGCTATTTGTAACATATGGTAATAAATGTTGTGAATTGATACAGACCAAAAGCACGAACACTTCACTTACAATGCATTTAAAGTGTTTTTAAATGAAACACACAAGCACACACGCACACACATGCACATACAGACACAAAATTTTACTCCATTTAGGAATCAACAAACATACAAAATGCGTCAACACTAAACCCACCCTCATCATTGAAAAAGTCCATAGATGCAAAACGCGTTTTGTTTTTGAAAAGGCGGGATGTTAAAATACAGACATGCAAACCTACATTATTTATGTATATTCCAAGTGAAAGACTGAAACATATTTCCTACAACAGAAATCCAGAGATAAATCAAATTTACGCTGTGAACGCACGAGATCTCGTAGGAATCTAAATCCTTTATTTTGTTTACTTACTGAGGAATGGCTACATGTACAACCCTAGTCTTTATGTCGGTTTCGCTTTAGCAGCAGGTAATTTATACACCCACCAATAACTTTAAGTCCTCACACACAATTTTTTATTTCAAGCTAGGATATTTTTCCTTAGCTTTTCAAAACACCCTCCTACATTTTAATTCTTTAGAATTAATAGTTCACATTGCCATTTCAAATACTTTTGTTCAAATTATCTATGCGAAATTCTATATACAGCTAATGGTAAATTAAATTGCTTGAGGGCAATAAAGGTATGAGAATTAATTGTTATGAATTGAATTTATATTGATATTTGTATTTTTTTTTTCATTTTAAAAAAAGTGGTAATAGTGGCATTTCCTCTTGGAAGTCTTTAATCAAATTCGGTAAAACACTATTAGGGCTTGGCCATGTTATTTCGTAACCCCGTGGTTCGGAACCAAACTTATGCTATAGGACATTATATATAGAAATAGAGATCTTTCACTGTATTGAAAAACTACTTATGATGAATTCCAGTCCAAATTGACAAACAATTTCCACTTAAGACACAAATAACAAATATTCTACTTAACAGGTTTTTACAATGAGTAGAAAATATATCGTTTTACTAATAACCAGGCTATATGGCTCAGTTCTGTCTTACTTGGACCATATAGATAAGAGAATGCTGGTTAATGCTGGGACAGATATCAGAAACCAATATGTTCCTGGAGAAACAATATTGGGACTCTTCCACCTCACTGCACTGTCAATGTAGTTTGCCTGAGAATGTTTAGCTCAATATAACCTGTAAATGGTCTGATTTTTAAGCTACCAACAAAAAAAAATTAAATAAAAAATAAACAACAATATCAAAACAAACAATCAATCCCCACATTGACACATACAGGTTGAACAACTATACCGTAACACATTATTCACAATGATCATTTAAACTCTCCATTTTATTGTATACTAATTGTACATAGAAGTTAAGGGTAAATAATTTTGATTAAAACGAAACAAGGAACATTTCCATCTCCGTTATAACAACAGTGATGTTCATCCGAGGTAATCCATCTTTATCTTTCATCATAACAACAATACAGTTTACAATTGTGATCTCTTATTTCAACATTTACTGCGTCAACCCTTAAGTTTGATTATTCTTTTGCTTCAAGTCCATGTATTTTGCCATTAGTGGAAATGGTTGCAAAATTTAGTAATTGAATCATATTGAAATAACCTATAATTATATTTTTGTTTTATTGTAAAACTAGACTGCATACATCATTTCGTAGCGTTCTATTTAAGGACAGTTAGTATATTTGGTAAAAGTCTCTGATATGGTCTCTATATTTCAAATTCACACTTTAATGCTGGTGGTAAATGTATTAGCATTTTTACTTGAAACTTTGTTGTGAAATTATAAACGATACATAGGAAAATTATGTTATATGGCTACATTTTAGGAATAGAACCCTACCCATGATTATTGTCCATTGGCAGCTCCAATTGCGTGGTTATAAGGTTGGATAGGTTAAGGGTTATTACTTACTTACTTAATCCCGTTAACTTCTCCTAGAGCATAGAGTCTCTACTGTCCCTCTCCACATGACCCTGTTGTTTGTTTTTCTCTTAAACCCTTCCCAGTTTTCTCTTTCTCCTTCAGCTCCTCGACCAACGTCTGTTTCCACGTGTTTTTGTCTTCCCACTCCCCTGATTCCATCCAGGTTCCACCCCAATGCCTATTTAGCCACATCCCTATTTCCCTTCCGCAAGGTTTGCCCATCCCATCTCCACTTACTTATTTTGATTTGAACGTCAATTGGTTCTTGGTTCGAGCAATGTCATAGTTCTTCGTTTCTTACAGTTTACGGGTTATTGTAAGCTAGAATCCAGCTATGGCTTAGCAATCTGAACCGTTTTCTTTAGAGTTAATCACTGTAGGTTCAGCATTAAATCCCTTACAATAACCATTCCAATTACTCTCTCTTTATTCAATAAAGCATTTTTGTTTCAGATTCAAGATGTCAGCCGAAGTACCAGAACCTGTCCCGAGCTGGTCCTCCTCTAAGATCTCTCAGACTGAGTATTCTGTGTGAATAGCTTCTCCCCGTCTAGCTACGATGACTTTCTACCTTTCAACCTTCGCCCTCGTCGTACCTACTGTCATCACTATAGGATACTCAGCCATAGGTTGGTTTAATTTAAAATGATATAATGATTGTTTTTCATATTTACCTCAGTTTTAACGCTGTAGTTAAAGACTTGTCTTTTTAATTTGAGAATACAAACCAGCGGGAAAAGGTAGTTATATAAAAATACTTTAGAAGAGTAAAACACTAACCTAATTAAAAACGAATAATAATTATAGCTTATAATTCTAGAAGCCATCAAAATAGAAAAATATTATCTTTATTTCTAAAAATAATTGCAATTAAACAAATTATCACCCATTTTCGTGTTTTACCATTTGAAATTTGCCCTTAAAGATGCATTTATTTTTAAATAGCAAAAATGAAATAAGTTTTAAGGCTTTTAGATACGTTGAATTTTAAGTGATCGATTTCATAAAATACTGTTCAAAGCTCACGAACTGTGTTTTTTTTTGTCATAGCCTGGATTACTATGATTATTACAATGGTAGGTTTTATACTACCTTATGTCCTTAATGTTAAGTGATCTTGATCTTGTAGTTGTCTACCATTGTTTCTAACTCTTTGTAGATTCCTTTTTGTCTCATGAACCTAGTAATAAGATTATAGTAATTCGAAAGATATTTACTTCTTAAATTTCCAAATTACAAGATTAGGTACTAATGAAGTCTCCAATGTAATTTAAGTTTGTTTAAAGTTGTGTAATATTTCCTCCTCTCTTGACTTGTGAATATGATTGGATTTTTACAGATTTCCCACAGACCAGATCGTTCCCAGGGGTCGAGGACGAGCCTGACTTCGAAGGCCCGATCAACAACGTGACAGTAGCCTTGGGCAGAGAGGCGATCCTTGTGTGTACCACCACAGAGCTGGGGAACTACAGGGTACGTGGGGGACGAGCTTGGCTCAGGGAAGAGCCCGGTTACATTTAAAATAGTAGTTTCTAGCCATTGTCCCAGTAAGTGGGTTAATCTGTAAAAGCGTAGATTGAAACCAACGGTAACCATTCCAGAAATACAGAAAGCAGTAAAGTATATTATTTGTTTTATACTAAGCATTTCCTAAAAAGTTGAAGTTTTATCACATATCGTTTTAAATTGTGAATAAAGTAGAGCGAAAATGTTATCAAACATGCTAAACGACGAAACACGGATTAACACTTCAAACTAAATCCTCCTAAATGAATCAAATCCACACGTAACTTCAGCTAGAAGTTAGTAATTGCTTAACTTGTGAAAGACGCCTCTTACTTCCAAAGTGTTGCTTTCGTCAAAAATGGGTTTTATAACGTTCGTGTGGTGAACATTATAATGAGTATTTATTACACGAGAAACTACTATAAGGCACCTATCCAACCCCTAATTGTTATATGTTATTTATAATCTTGTTTGTGGGTATTTACTGATGAATATATTCCTTTCAACCGAATTATCATGGTTTTGATTCGCTAAACAGTATGCTATTGTTCTGAATTTGTCTTATTTATCACACTCAATCAATAATTTCTAAACTAAGCCTATATGTAACGGTAAAGAGGAAAATTTTGCAATGTAATTTCTAAAAAAGTAGAAAGTGGAATCGTTGGAGAAACTTTTCTAAATAATGACTTAAAATTAAACAGCAACATTTTTTTTTTTAATATCGCATTATTTATTCTAGGTCGGATGGATGAAGGCGGACGACCAGACTATCCTCAGTCTTCACACACGTCTGGTCACTCACAACCCCAGGATAGGTATAACCTACGACCACAACAACTGGGGTCTTCACATTAGACAAGTCAAGGCCTCTGACAAGGGCTGCTACATGTGCCAGATCAACACCAGCATCATGAAGAAACAAGTCGGCTGTATAGACGTGCACAGTAAGTTTTGCAAAGAAAAACAACAATCACTTCTCTCTCAGGGTCATTTGTATAGGAGTTGATGATTAGCATCACCAGATATTTTCACCAAGTCATCCGATCCTCTGAATTCTCCTAAGATGTTCCAATTATTTTCATTCCCACTACATCTGCTTGGATCTTACTGGGGGTCATCTTCCATCAGGGTTTAATATTCCCTAATATCTTTTCAGTTGACCTTCCTCAGACCTTCTCAGTCCATGTTCTGTCCATTTAATTCTTCCACGCTTATTTCTTCAATCTTATAATATGCTGTTGCATAGTTCCCTTATCACCCTCCTCTTTTTCACATGTAGGCCCATGTATATGTCATGGTACTTTATTTTCAAATAATTTCTGTGAAACCTAGATTTAGAGTTGGTACTAGAATTAAGTTAGATATATATAGCCAAAAAACATAGGAACTACGCACGATTTTTGTGTGGTCAATAGTTCTGATCGCCATAGTTAAGTCTGCTGGACTTCTAGGCCTTAACAATAAAAGGACAGACATCCATAATATCCGTAAACAGAAAATGGAGCCACCATTTATTGGCTAAGCAAAAAGAAAGATAGTTTACCGATGAAGGCTGGGAGGCTTTACAATGTTCTCCCAGTACAGTTCAAGGTGCGAACGATGGATTTGAAATTGGACCTAGCACATTTGTCAGGAGATACGCTTTATATTCTTTTTTACTAACTGAGGTACGATTTGAGGGGGTGAACCTAAAACTTAGTTAACTCTTCAACACAATGATTGGATTATATTTAATCCACAATACGGTGTATACTATTTTTTCACCAAAAGATATACATATATTATTTCAGTAAAATTAAAACTACATTGTTAAGCAGGAGTATATGCAATGCTGTTCTTTTAACACCCACAACAAAAAATATTTCTCCCTTGTTTTAACATTTCAGCTACATCCAACCTTTCGAAATTGTTATAAATTAAAGGTAATTATTATAGCTTAACTTAAGTTGACTAGAATACCCTCTCATTGCAGTACCTCCGGACATAGAGGATGTAGGGACGTCATCAGACGTTACCGTCCAGGAAGGGGAGAATGCAACTCTCACTTGTAAAGCTAAGGGACATCCTACCCCGAGAATAACTTGGAGGAGGGAGGACAGTGAGCAAATAGTCATCAGGAAAACACCCAAGGAAACATTCAAAGGTATATACATATAAAGTAATGTATCATTTCAAAAGAAAGTTGGTAAACAGCACCATGTTGTTGTAAATATTGATTCAGTTGTAGCCAAGAGGTTAGAGTGCTTACCTTCGTATTTGAAGTTAGACTCCAATTCAGGGGATTCTGAAACAAGTATGATTAGTCAGTTTTTACATAAAATAATATTATCTAAAATTGAGTCACTTAAGTGTATTATAACACCAAGGTTTGAGGCACAACATAAGAAATTGAACGAAAATAGTGTTAAAACAAATAAAAAATATTTATAATGATTGATTTTAATTAAAATTTCAAAGAAAGTTATGTCGTGTGCCGAAGAATGAGTATATATAGTTAAAGCTTAAATGAAGCTAAATGTTATGAGTAAAATTCTAATTATTTCTAATGTTACACACTAAGTTTGTCGAAGTGGTTTCTCTAAGAGCCCAATTACCATAGTCTGAATAGTCATACTCCACGCTAAAACATCCTAAGCAGACATTCAGTGTGCCCTTATGTATCCATTATTTCATTTAAACTCCAAAGCTGCACAAAGAGAGATTACAAATTTGCTCTGGTTTCAAGTTTCCGCTATCTGCGTCGTAATCCACAGCCCAAACATACAAAGGGTACTTTGTTGGTAGCTTTACAATTAGATGATGACTTTGAAGCGCTCGTAAAATTGTGTTTGGTGTTAAGCTGTTAGACTATAGCCACCAGAATCTAATTTTCTTAAATGCAACAGACTCGGAAAGTTATCTTGTAATTGTAGTGGTTTGCTATTAAACAGAGAATGTCAAAAATTATGTGATTCCGAAATGTTGATAAGATTTAGGAATTGGCAGTTTAATTTTTTAGTAAACGTTACAATTTATATGGGTTAAAATCGTAGCGAGTTCCCACATTTGGAATTCAAATGAAGTTGTGATTGTAGATATTGGTGTAACCTACTTCAAAAATGCATATATTTAACTCGGTCGAGATGATTTAAAAAAAAAAAACATTAACAAATACTATTACAATTATTCAAATTCTGGTATGTTAGCACACACTTGTTCTAAACTTCATAAAACTTTAAGGATGTTTTCAGCAATGGGAAACCCATTATTAGCACAAGTACTTAAAATGTACTAACATTAACCTAAACGTAAAACATTTGAATATTAAGAGTCCTTGGAGCCTACAAGTTAAAACTCATAATACAATTACAAAAGTAGGAAGACAATTTCTAATCTCACAGTGCACTAGATATTTAAATTACAATCACTTTGGTATTTGAAAATTTTTGGATGGTAAATAACCCTTAAACAGCTGTTTGAAATAATCCAAGATGACAGCTACCCTGAAAGACTCTTAAATGTGTTCTTTCTGAAATGGGTTGAACGAGAAAAATTACATATTCATTTAAAGTAATAAAAACAATACTTATTTGCCTGCGTTGTTAATTTATACCGTTCATATAGTTTAAAAGTGTTATTTATGGATTTACTGATGTCTTTCATGCTTTTCTCACTTATTCATGATTGATATTCATTGTTTTTTCAACATTACAGTAGAGTCGTTCAGTGGAGACAGCCTACATCTAGTGAAGCTGGACCGTAAACAGATGGGAGCGTATTTCTGTATCGCCAGCAACGATGTTCCACCAGCTGTCAGCAAGAGAATAACACTAAATGTCAACTGTAAGTAGGAATATTAAATATTTTATTTTATAAATTACCATATAGCATATACATGGAGAATCGTATAAGATCTCCAGTATTTAGACGAACTGTTAATTCTGCATTGGTGAAATAAAATAGATTCACACTACATCAAACCATAGACAAAAATATTAAATTAGACTGTCAGCCCTGCTGTAGTTACCATGGTTACCATTGGTTCTGGCGCACACCACTAGGAGCACCGTGTAGTTACGTAGTGCGTATGCCGTAACTACATGGTGCTCCCAGCGGTGTGCGCCAGAACCTACGGTAACCATGGTGACCTTGGCATATCTGACGTGTCTATGACCAAACCCAAGCAAAATGATAAACATAACATCAAAGGTTTTTTATAAGGGATGTTCCAAAACTTAGGTATTTTTAAAATATTTTTTAGAAATATCACGTACATACACATCATACTATCACATACTATACATTATTTCTTATTTCAATATAAAACGACTCACTCCCACGCATGGGTTTTCCCATGTGGAATTAATTTCGTATACTTTTAAGGTATTCAGTTATATTTCTATTGTAATATGATATTTTGTAAAAAATTTAAAATATAATTATTTTATACGAAATAAAAGGAATTTTTATTTGATTTGATTGATTTGTTAGTTTTTAAAATATTTATTAAAAACAATAAAGTCAATAAGAGTTCAATCATTTTCATTCGTTTTAGAATTTAGGATTTTTGTAACCATCATGGTTTATTATTTTAAAATTAAGGCATCTCTACACTGATTAAAATCCAACCCCTGAGATATTCACCCTGTTTAATCCTATGGCTTAGCCTAGACATTGTAATTACGAAAATCATCTATTTTTTGTGGACTGATTTGTATGGTCACTAATAACTTTCTTTAATTAAGTATGCACTGTAATACAGGAAAACAATTATGTAATAACCAGGTAAATGTTAAGCTATAAACAAAAGACATAATGCTACGGAAACTAACATTCAACTTTTTATTCATAATATTAGGGCTATACGTCTATACTACAGGTTAACTTATAAAACAATATGTAGTAAGAACTATTAACTGATAGTCTATTTGAACTAAATTGAGTAAGTAATGTTTTTTCTTTGTAAAACTCAAACAGAAAGTAGACGCTTAAACGATGAAGAGAAAGATGGTAGTTATTATTCGAATCACGCAGCCATAATTGTCGATTCTATAATACAATCCTATAAGCCTTTGTCATGATAACAACTTCTTCAGCCCGAATCGTTACTTTTACGTTCATCGTTTTACTTTATGTTCCAATGTTTAAGTATTATTTGCATTGCTTTTACGTTTCTTTGAGAGTTATACAACGTTTTTTACATATAGCTTTTGAAATTTAATTCACGGACGATTACGAAATTTCATCCTACGTTGTGGGGTTAATCTATCATAAAACATGTATAAATGCAGACAAATTATAAATAAGTAACAATCAAATTAGTAGTTACAAATAATCATCGACGGTTCACTACTGATATTTTTGGGATGTTTTTGTAAATCTTCATACCCCCACCTCTTAGTATTACTGATACTTAAGAGAAATATTTTTACCACAAAAAACTAATTCTTTTTTATAGCATTTCAGGACCAATTATTTGCAAATAAAAATTATAAATTACCTATTGTCACCTTATGGGCGAAATTTCATCCTTGATTAATTAACCTTTTTGTTTGTCATATAAGGCAAACAATATGAAAAAGGTCTTAACATAAATATAAGGCAATATGTGAAAAATGTCAATTGACATTTCCCAATCAACTCTCAATGTTTCCAGCAAAATAAAGTTTAAAATTAATTTTTAGGTTAAAACAATGCATGAACACAGACATAAAACTATGTGTAAGTCACTGATCGTGGGTTACTGATATTTGACAGAAAAACACGCCAATAAACATGAATTAAACATGTTACTTGTTATTGATGGATATGAATTAACATTACAGCTGTTGTATTATTTAAAAAATTATAATTCAATTTTATACTAGCTCTTAGCCCTTATGTGATTATGTATGGATAGGGATAATATGTTGCACTTAAAATCACAGTTAAAGTAAAAATATGTTGCAGCTAGAGTAACGGCTGGAAATATAATAAACGAGATAATCGTTTTGTAGGATACTTAGTTCGTCGTATTAAGCTCTTAAAGCCATCAAGAGGAAACTATTGTTTTCCGAATGAACCTTCTCACAAACAGATTAGAAGTCGACTAAAGAGTTCTTAATCCTATCCTAACCCATTCTCTTAATCGTTTTAATTTTTTCTTAGTTAATTATGCTAAAACAATATTTTAACTAAGAACGAAATTGTATGATCCTTGTTTTAAATACATAAAATATAGTTTTTAAGAAATGAGACAAAAGTATTGAATATATCGATTCTTTTTTTATCTCATCTAATTCAATTACTAGTTAATCACAAAGCTACAATTACAAAGGAGACAAATCTGGTATTCAATGTCCTGGCACGATAATCTAGTTCTAGTGGTCTACAAAATTGTTGTGTGTTAAACTAAGCCACAAAAGCGCGTTCGGCAGTTGAAGCGATCATTCGGAAAACTTCAGGAGCAATCGGCAGACGTTGAATGGACTGAATAATATTTTTTTTTTTTTATTTCATAGTAGGTACAATTGTGATTGTAGACAGTAAAATAAAATGTGGAATACACCAACCAACAGTTTTCTGATAACGCTAAATATAGAGTAGTGTGTTTGCCTGCCTCTTAATGAAGACTATTTTTAGAAGACTTATTGTAATCCGCAACTGTCTAAGCTCCTAACGTGCAGGATTAGCGAGTATCTACTATAGTCGGATTTTTGGATGGTTCCCAAACACATTCTTAAAACTTACTATACCTTTGGTTCGATTTGGGACCTTAATATATCCATATCACACAACTATTAAACATATAATAAAATATAAAAATCGTATTTTAAAAATACGTTAAACATATCCACAATTAACATGCATATAGCTTCCTCATATTCACCTAGTTTTTCCTCGGTTAAAAGTCTATTCACGTTCACCATATAGCTCAGTGATGGGCCTTTTGTCATGGAAATGCGTCTATCCTTCCACTTATCTGGCCTGCTTCGACAAGCGTTCAGCGTTTCGGAATATCGATATTATAATGAAATTTACAAAACGATATTATTGAAACATGTGTTTAACTAATGGTTATTCTCTCCATTTTCAAGTTAGGTTTTTTTAGTAGGTTCGTAACATACGATGAAATTTTAAAAGTGTTGTTGCTCTACTTGTTTTTTATGTTGCCGACGTTTGATTAAAGTGACATTTTCTTGTTATGTTTTATGCCATTTGTGAACTTTTTTAACATAGCTTAAATTTGATCTGGAATAGTATTTAAACCCCACTTAAATTATTCCAAGATATCAAGAAAAAAACACAGCTTAAAAGGTTTCACAGAACACAACACAATTTAGTGTTTTTTTACACCAGCATGTTTAAATGTAGGGAGGGAAACGTAATAAATAATATCCTACCCACATAAAAAAAGTATAGACGAGAAGAATTGGTTATTATTATGAAAATACGAACAATTATCATTAAGATGGCCTAGCTAGTCTGGTTTATAAAATATTTATGACCAACATGTTAAACAAATTCAGGTTATTCACTTAATTAACTTCATATAAAAAATTGGAAGGTTATAATTTCAAATATATAGTTACATGAATTTATTTTTGAACTCAATAAAACGAAACTAAACACCACAGTTCAAGAGCAGTTTTATTGCATAAATTATCCACTTGATCTAAGCAGTTACATTGATTCCTTGTAATTTCTAACTTACTTTGTTATAATTTCTTTACATTTTGTATTTCAGTCCCTCCAGTCATCAAGGTGCCAAATCAGCTGTTAGGAGCTCCATTGGGGACAGATGTTCAACTGGAGTGTTCAGCCGAAGCTTACCCGAACACTATCAACTACTGGAAAAAGAACATGGACCAAGTTATTTTACCAGGGTGAGTTTCTCAAGTTATACGAGTTGTTATTAACCAATAAGTTCCAACTTTTGATAGTAACATGAAATATAAAATAAAATAAATAACGATTACTTGCTGAAAATTGAGAAATTAAATACAGTTGACAATTTATTAATACAACCCATTTAAATTTGAATTTAGTTACTGTATGTTTGGTTTTTATGTTGACATATTTTTCAATGGAATTTGCTTCTAAAACGTTTTAGCACTAGTAAATGTTGTATGCCTTGAAGATTTTTAGTTATTGATCAGCAATACATTAGTGCATATACAAGTATAGAGATTATTCCTAAGATAATTTACAAAGGTAATGTAGCTTTCGTTCATTTTTGTGCACTGACAGTAAACACAGTAAGAAGTGCAGTAAGAAGTAAACACGGTGTCAGAAAGGTTTACATGCAAATATTCTCACTACATTAAAAACAAAGTTATTATTATTTCTTGCAAAATGCAGAAAAGAAATGTTTTCCAGCACGTTTGGAAATAAGGAAAAGTGTAAAATGTAAAAGTTTATTTATTACTGTAATTATCAAACATGTAATGCACCTAAAAGGTTTCTATTTGCTTACAGGCCTAGGGTTCAGATAGAAGAAGTACGGAACTCGTACAAAGTCCACATGAAGTTGTCCATAAAGGCTTTCAACCAAAGTGACGTAGGAACTTATATGTGTGTATCGTCCAACTCGATGGGTAACGCAGAGGGCATTGTTAGGCTGTACGGTGAGTAAATGCAGTACTATATATTTACCAAGCTGTATGATTCAATTACTAGATATTTAACTATCAGTAAGCATCAACTAGTTATCAAAAGGTCGTTTGTGTAATCTTGAAAATGGTCAGTGGCTTTTTTATGCTTTAAAACTAGACCAAACTGTCCTTTATCATTGTGTTTTCAGTAAATAATTCTGGTTAATGAAACAGCTGATTATGGTTATTGCTGCACAGAGCACAGATCATCTCACACCATTATACACTCACTGTCATTCACATTTGTCTTTAAAAACGCACAAAAGTGTGCTGTCTAACAGAACCGATAAAAAAATACTTTTTTAATCCCTTAATAAAAATCCCTTAATCGGTTCAGTAGATTTGATCAAATTTAGCCTTAATAAAAATGTAGTATGTGCACACAATGATGGCAAATATCAACCCGTTGATACGAACAGACAATTTGACTAATGTGATTGAATTTGTACTTATTTGTAGCTTCTAAAAGTGTATTAGCAGATGATATGTATGTTTTACCATAGTAGGTTGACTATTAAACCACTGATATTTTCTAATGTAACTCGAAGGATACATTTGTCCAACGTTTTGGAAGACTTGCTACGTTTTTTATCTAAGATTACAAGTTTGCTTTTTAAAAACTATTATAATTAAAGATTCCATTTTTTTTTTTATTATGTGTTCTCTTCTTTCAGAAATCAAAATCCCGACAGTGCTTCCAACTACTACTACTACAGAGGCAACAACTTTTACAATTCCACGTAAGTTGTCACTTAATTTATATAAATTATTTAAGCATTAATTGAAGCCGAACTTTTTTGTACGGTCACGTTCAAAGATGACTAGTTATTCTTTTTTTTTTTTTATCCATGTGTGTAGCCCCTGAGCTGTTGGACATAATGTAAGACTAAATTACTTACGTAATTCCCGTCACAGCTCAATAAATTGTGTCTATTCAGGACATGTTTCGGTGTTAAAACACCATCGTCAGCTTCAGGTACATGTTGTAGAGTTGATCAGTTGTTAGCATCGTCAGAAGAATAAAAATAAACACAGTACGGACTCGAATAAATAAATAAAACAGTTAAACATTTAAAAAACAGGCCTGTTCTAACAAAGATGACCGACCGCACAGGTAGCAAGTAATTTAGTCTTACATTATGACTAGTTAGTCCGTAGAATATATATTCATACCAAGAATTACTGTTTTAATTCAAAAATAAACGTAACGGGTAAATATATTAAATAGCGCTACTCCAAATATATATATATATTTAATTTTTAAATACGCACTGAAGAGTTTTTTGCTCGATATTATAGTTATAGCATATACCGTAATGCCCGTAATATTCTGTTAGGGTGATGTTACAAATAAAAAAAAATCTCAAATCTACAGGCTTTTAAAGTAAACCTCAGCAGTACATGAAAAAGGAAATAATGCTTATGAAATCGTGTTTTTATATTGTTTTAACCTTTTTATGTCCTTTAAAAAAATATGTAAAATCCTTTAAAACGATATTCACGATGTTCTTCAATTTTATCTATATGGTTATCCCTTAAAGTAGGATCATAATAAAAAAGAAAGATTGTTAACTTAAAGTCAAAAAGACAAACACATATTTAAATCTTAAAATTTAAATACGATGTTTTTCAATGAAGACGTTAATATTAACCTCCTCCATCAATAAATAAATAAAACGAATATCCTTGCAAGGATTCTGTATTTATGTGTTTGATTATTTTATATCAAACTGAGGATTCATTGCATTTTTCTAGGATTGAGTCTTTCATTTTTATTTGTAATAATTATTAATATAGTTTGGTGTTTGTGTATAGTAATAAATTTCCTTTCCAGGGAGAGAGACAACCACTACTACAGAGATGACCAGGGTAATACGTACAACAACACAAGGTGAGACTTGTCATCTTATCAGTACAGATCCAGCACAGATCAGTGTTACTTGTCATGTGTAATTACGTATTATCATTTCATTGTATTATATACTTTATATGATACGAAATATCTTTTATTCATGAAAGAATTGTGAAAACGATACTTAACCACCAAACATTAAAGTGTTGATTTAGATGATAACACCATTTTCAATAAACGTAGGCCTACAATACTTTTACCACCTAAGATGGTTTGGCTAAAAAGAAAACATAAATATATGTTCAAACCAAACCGCCAAACTGTGTAATGAATTACGAAATAATAACGATCAAAATTTGCCCCAGTTTAAAACCTCTTAGTATTTTAAACAATGAATGTATAAACCTCACAAATTAAATAATAGTTTAACTTCTGTACTCTTAAATAGTAACCACGATATTTAATGGGGCCTTGAGTAAAACACTTATTAATACCTCTGCAAAATTTACTTTTTGTGTAAATTTTATATTGGAAATTGTTTATAACATAGAATAAACAACGAGATTAAAATTTATAAAACGTTTATTGTTTTCCAGTGACAGTAATTTTGCAACTAACAATAATAACAAATACTTACTCCCTATACTTCATAATTAGAGTTTACAAACCTTCGTAATACCAACTCATAATGTTTTCACTCGCCCCTGACCTCCATAGGCCACCCCCTCCCCTGATGCACAGAAGATGTAGAAGGCCTCTCACTCTAACTACTTATTTCTAGAAAAAATATAAAGAATACTAATTATATACAACTCTACTATACTTTTCCTGAAGTAGGCCCGCTACAAACGCCTTCCACCTTAATCTGCGCCACTTGTCCGATCCTAACTCTTGTCCTCTCTTTGTGCATTTAACTTGCAAAATACAAAATTTCACTTTCCCTCCAAAATGTTACAGACCCTCTCAACGCGACTCCGTCAAGAACGCGGGAAATCTACGTGGACCACAACGAGCACGAGGTGTCTGGTATCTCCAGCAGACAGCACATCACGAGCGGAACCTCCCTCCACTCTCAGCAAACCTGTGTCCTCCTCACCCTCTGGATACTCTGCCTCTCCAGCAGATGACGCCTGTAGTCCCTCCTGTACAACTACACGATGCTCACATAGGATAGACTAGTTGAGGTTCTGTACCAGAGCCCCCGTTCTGAGATGTTAGTGTAAATGTAACATGAATTTTGTACTCGTTGTTCATGTTGTAACCGATTTGTTACCTGAATATTTTCAATGCTTATTTTTTATAAGAGCGTTAAGTAGATAAATAATCATTGAATAGTAGCTTACCGCGTTATATACAGATGTTTATAATGGTATTAGTGTAATTATATGTAAATATTGTATAAGTTGAATTTGTAAAATAATGTAACTTTAATTTACAGTGAGTTACGTTTTTTTGTAAGTTATGCAGTATAACGTAAGCTTAACTATTGTGATAATTTACTTCCATTTACTTAATAAGTTAGTGAACAGGTTAGTTGATAAGGTCATGATAGATAATATTAAATAAATAGTCCATATCAAGATACTAATATTAGTTATAATAACCTATATCTGTTGATACATATCTCGTAATAAATCTGTTATTTTAGTATCAATTTAAGTAGACGTGTTGGAGGTAAAAGATTTAAAATATCACAATCTTATATTACTTTATAATGATATTACTTTTTAAAGAAGCATTTAAAGATTAATACAAAGGTTAGAGCCTGGAATCTGCTTTTTAATCAATAATTTAGAAAATTTTATTACATGTAACATATAAAACCTGAAACTTTACATGGATTAGGAATGGGATATAAACTTGTTGCTAAACCCTGCTAAACCATGAAGCTACAATAAATGGAAATAACCAAACGGATTCATTAGTTATTTAATATTTAAAACTGTTATGAGTACGGGTAAAATCCTTTTACATACCGTTTATTGTAAAACTGAAAATGTGATCAGGTTTTCAATTTAAAATGCTAACTTAATTTTAGCATAAGGATGAGGGACTGAAATAAGAATCTTCTGTAAGCAGTGATGATTTCTTCTTTGTAATCTTTTCCTTTAAACTGGAACGATATTGTTTACAATGTTGAAGATGTATTCATGTAACAATAAATGGATTTTAATGTTAGATGTCCCTGGTGGATGTAACTGTCAATAAGTATTGAGTAATTTATATTGGGACAGAAAAACGAATTGTTGTATAAACAATTTGGCCTTTTACCTTTGCTTCATCGTAAAACTGATCAAACTAAATGAATTTAAACCCTTAATGTTTTAATCCTTAGAGTTTGTAACTAATGAAAAAACATTAACATTCTGAAGTATGCGGTTTATTTTATATTTATATTGAGTAAATTTTATATTTACACAAATATTATCTTCGAAATAACAAAAAAATATTTTTCAACCTTGGTTATTTTAAACACCGAATTCATGGGTTTAGAAATACAACTAATTATGTGTAATTGGGAATTTATTTATATATATATAAATAACACTTTTTCGTTTTGAAATATTATTTTTGTGTAAGCATTAAATTAAGAAAAGAAGTGTCTCGACAAAAATATACATGATCATGCTGTTTTTTTTTTAAACAACCGTTAATTGAATCAGTGTTTTAAAACATAGCTCTTGTATAAAACAAAACTTTACTATGTTCCATGATATAATTTTTTTGGTAGATAGTTATGTAATAAATATTAAGATTACTACAGCTTAAAAATTGAAGAATACTGTAAGGACATAATATTTGTAACTAGACAAACAAGTATAAGTTTGATTTATGAAGATGATATTGGCAACAAATAATACAGGTTTGTACAGGAAATATTTATGTATTGAAATATAAAAATATATGGATTCTATTGAATTTGGACCATTCTTATAACCTATGGCTTGCTGTTTTTATGTTTTAAACAAGAAGATATATATATAAAATATGAATGATTTTAATACTGTAATATTTACGTAAGGTGGAATGAAGCATTTAGACTCAAACAACATGGATTATGGTTTTAATCGTATTTTTGTAGCTACATATTTTTTATAACATACTTATTGTATACTCATGTTTGTTTCATTTCTGAATATAACTCCAAAAAATTATTACCATTGTATATATCACACGAAGATTAAAGAGGATACATTTATCAGAACTGAAATTGTCTTATAAATGTGATAAAAGTAATAGTTTTTCATCATAACTTATTTAATTAAATCCAATCTTAAAGAAAATGATATAGAAGAAAATTTTAAAATACGTCATATGACTTTTAAAACTTCTTAGTTATTATATCAAGTTTATATATTCTTAAAAAACTTAAATATATTGACGGAAACACTACGGTTTAAACATTTTAAAAGTTATAATATTATTAATTTTTGTACTTACATTTTCTGTGGCCTGCAATTTAATATTAAACTTTAGTTATGAAAATCATCCTACTCTAATGTTGCTTGTAAATGACTGAAATACAATTAATTGATTAGAGATTTTCAAAACTGCTTGTTAGAATACTACAAAGTTTGCCTAATAGAGTTTGTAAATAATTACAAAGTAAGTTATGTTTAATTAACGATAAGCATATTTTATTAATTATACATTTTTGCAATGAATTTATTTCATACAATATTGGTGCAAGAATGATGTACGATATAGTTTGGGCTAAGGTTTTATTTACCGTTTCTCTTACAGAATAAATCGTAGCTGTAAACAATTCTACTATGACAGACTAATTTTGCCAGAAAATGAAATTTCAGTAATAAACAATATTTATGTTCAGAAGCGGAAAGCACTTGAAACAAAACAAGATGAACTTTCACCTGGAATTGTTCTGTCATGAGGCTCCACCGAGGCCATCCATTAGCTTTATCTTTCATCAAAACAACAATACAATTTACGGTCGTAATCTCTCTACTATTCCCTGTTTAATTTGTAACATCTTTAATGGATTTTAACGCAGAATCATGAATGATCTATGATCAAACTGTAGGGTGTATTAATATTATAAAAAACAATTTAAGAATTTTAATAGATATAATAAATAACTTGGTTACTTTGGTATTATACCGACCACAATTAATATTTATAACCTAACCTTTTGGACTATGGTTTAGGTTAGGAAGATTTTGTTATTTAAACTAATTAAAATCTTATATGGAAGTCCATTTATCGATCTGGTCAGTATACCAAAGTAACAATAACTTCATTATCGGTATAGCAGGTTTTTTTTATTTACTGAAAATAAGTAAAAAATATGGGTAAAATATTTGGAATCATTTTACCACCTACAGATTTGGCTTACAAGATGGTGAATACAGTTTAATGAGTAGCTGACCAATTTTGATTAGGCTTTCTAATCATTATTACACCCAGTAGGCAATTATTGAAATGTCCAATCGAAATATATCATGAAAATTCTAGTATTTCATAACGTCTAAACAATAAAATATATATTTCCATTATAATTTTTCCGAACTAGGTATCGTATCGGGTTTTAAATTTTATTATCCTAGTTTCTTTATTTGTTTGTACTTGTAAAAAATTTCAACAATAAATTATACGTTTAAAAAATATTTAGGTTTTTTTTAACTTAAACATTATTTTATTGATAACTATTATGTAGTGTATCATTCTGATGTATATAAATCAACAGTGAGAAATTATAAAAGACGCATGTATCAAATTTTCTCCACACGAGATAAATTTAAGATACTAAACTTAATTTAAAACTTGTCTTTCAGTATATACGCGCATATATACATGTTATGAAGAGCAATAATGCTCAGAAGGAATCTTTTATATTCGTACAAGCGTGAGATTAAAATTGCCAGACAAGCTTTGATGACGCATTTAAGGTTCTATTTTTGTAAACATTTATTATAAGATGAGAACTTCTTATGAAGCGTATAACCTTAGGTGAGAGATAAAATATATTTATTATGTTAAAGTTTATTTATTTCTAACAATCCTAAACCTAATTTAAAAAGAGTAATACAGTATAGCTATAAAACAAGCTGTCGCGTGATAATATTGAAAATCATAATATCAATCAGTTTTTCAATTATGTTAAATACTTGCTGTTGGTTTTTTTATAAATTATAATTGTTGGAAATGATAGTGTAAATATAATACTGACAGCCTATCACATACACCACTTTAACACGTTCCTTCCGAGACCGTAATTGATCCAAGATGGACATTATCCAATGCTAAGCGATGATTCCGACTTATTCTATTAATTTACAGCAACTTTTTTAATTGTACTGTTTGCTGATTCCTTGTAGTTTTCTTATATAATTATGAACAAATAGACTAATGTTTAAATAAACAAGAATTCAACTATTTTAAGTAATTTTATTAGGATTCATAATATGTTTAGGATGATAGTATATACAGGGTATTTTTAAAAACTTTCATCTTTATTTATGTAAAAACCGCAATAGATAGAAATATTAAGTTTGCGGGAATCATCTATTGACGTAGTGGACCCAATTGTTTTGAATTCAACGTTACATTCACATTCCCCACCTCCCCCCCCCCTGCCCCCAACTTATTTTTTTTTTAAATAGCAAGGTACCCCTTGTGACATATCAAATAAAAGAGCATGAAAAAAGAAAATGTTTGAAGAAAAAAAATGAAAATCGGTTCATAAACTTGTGAGATATTCCCCCCCCCTCCCCAACCCGGAACTTAATTTTTTTTTAATAGCAAGGTACCCCTTGTGACATATCAAATGAAATAGCATGAAAAAAGAAAACTTTTGGTGAAAAAAATTTAAAATCAGCTTATGAATGTGTGAGATAATCCCCCCCCTTTCCCCCAAATGAAAAATAAATTTCACCAAACATTTTCTTTTTTCATGCTCTTTCATTTGATATGTCACAAGGGGTACCTTGCTATTAAAAACAATTTAGTTCCGGGGAGGGGGGGATTATCTCGCAAATTTATGAACCGATTTTCAATTTTTTTCATCAAACATTTTCTTTTTTCATGCTCTTTTATTTGATATGTCACAAGGGGTACATTGCTATTTAAAAAAATAAGTTTGGGGCAGGGGGGAAAGGGGGGGAATGTGCATGTAACGTTGAATTCAAAACAATTGGGCTCCCTACGTCAATAGATGATTTCCGCAAACTGCGTATTTCTATCTATTGCGGTTTTTACATAAAATAAAGATGCAAGTTTTTAAAAAAACACCCTGTATGTTACATTCTTACAATGTTTACATTGCAACGTAAAAATGGCTTTAAATGTGTACTAGTGTCCTTCTTAAAACTTGCAATCTTACATTATTTAGGAAATAAAACAAAGCTTTTCGCTTGTAAACGGTTACGAACGTAACCGAACGAAAGCTAAAGCTTGTCACCGATGAATTACAATTATGATTCAAACAATGTTTTTGCTGATGATGTTTAGAAACAGCCTGACTGTAATATAGAATGCAATGTAAAGAATTCACGAACACAGGGTATACATTAACTACTACCGTGTGGTTTGTTACAGTAATACAAACATAAAAGCAAATACGATTATCGGGTCACAAGTCATACAATTTTCGATCAACAGA